ATTCTGGGCTCCAATGCTGAAAAGGCCAGGGTCTGTGGCCTTCAGCAATTCATAGGACAGCCAAGAGTTCTGGCCCGAATCCCCATCCACAGCCACCACCTTGGCGACCAGGTAACCGGCCTCCACTGACTTGGGAACCAGCTCATTGAAGGCGGAGGTGCTGTTCTGAAGAGGGTAGAGGAAGAAGGGGGCATTATCGTTTTCATCCAGGATCACAACTCGAACAACAACCTCTGAGCTCAGTGGAGGAGAGCCCCCATCTGAAGCCCTCACTGTCACTTGGAACTCCTTGATCTGCTCATAATCCAGAGATCGCAGGACGTAAAGATTCCCCGTCTCAGAGTTGATGGAAACGTAAGAGGCCACAGGAGCACCACTGGCATTTCCTGGCACAAGAGAATAGGTCACCTTGGCATTCTGCTCCACATCCAGATCGACAGCATGGACCGAACCCATCAGCAGGCCGGGAATGTTGTTTTCCCACACCTGCATTTCATACTTGGACTTCTCAAACACTGGAGAGTTGTCATTGATGTCTGAGACCAAAACCCTAAGCGTTCTTCTTGAAGTGAGCCTGGGAGAGCCCTGATCGGTAGCTGTGATGGTGAAGTTATACTCGGGGTCTTTCTCTCTATCCAATAACCTTTGGGTTACCAGTTTATAATAATTATTCACAGTGGTTTTCAACAGAAAGGGCAAGTTTATCTCCATTGAGCAGGAGGTCCTGCCATTTTCTCCAGAGTCTTGGTCTGTGACACTGAAAAGCACAACTAACGTATCAAGAGGAGAGTCTTCTGCCAAAGGGCTGGCGATGGATATGACAGAGATCTCAGGTACATTGTCATTCTCATCCTCAATTTCCACCAGGACCTTGCAGTGGCCTGTATGACCGCCTCCATCTGTTGCCTTGATCTTCATATAATGGTTTCTTTTTCATAGTCCACTGGACCCACAACAGTGATCTCCCCTGTTGTTTGATGCAAGTGGAACAAGTTGCTTATTCTCTCAGGCGGCTGATGGAAAGAATAAGTGACCTCTGCATTTGAACCAAAATCTAAATCTCTGGCTTCCACTTTCAAGACCAGAGTATCTGGAGGGCTATTTTCCTTCAAACCCACTATATATTCAGATTGTGTAAACTCCGGGAGGTTGTCATTGTTGTCCAGGACCTTAATTTTTATTTGAACTGTTCCCATTCTCTGGGGCACCCCTCCATCAACTGCTGTGAGAGTCAGCAACAAATGAGCCTCTTTCTCCCTGTCTAGTGGTTTTTCCAGAATAAGGTCCAGATTTTTATTTCCATCCCTGCCACTTTGAATTTCCAGCTGAAAATTCTCATTAGGACTGAGGGTGTAGTTCTGAATACTGTTTTTGCCCAAGTCTCTATCTTGGGCTGGTTCCAGGGGGAATCGACTATTTGTGGGAGCATTCTCAGGAATAGACAGGTCAAGTTCAGTTTGAGAAAATGCTGGAGAGTTGTCATTTATATCTTCTACCTGCATCTCAATGCTGTAGATTGTTAAGGGGTTCTGGAGCACAATTTCAGACAACAGTAAGCAAGAGTCCATCTCACCACACAAAGCTTCTCTGTCTATCTTTTCATTTACAAACAGATTCCCAGAATGGGTATCCAGCTGGAAATATTGCTTATGGCTTTTGGAAACTAGCTGGGCTCTGCGAGCAGAGAGCTCCCCTGGTCCCAGCTTCAAATCCTTCAGCACATTAGCCACCAGAGACCCACTTTTCTTCTCCTCAGGCAAAGAATAACGAATTGAGACACACACCACTCCAGACAGAGAGAATAAGAACAAAAGGTACAGACCTTTCCTGAAGTTATTGTCCATGATGCCAGACATGGTCAGGAATCTGTGGTTCAGGAAGCAGCCTGGTACTATCCAGAGATATTTTATCTTTTTGAGATAATTAATTTTGATCTTCTATGTTCCATTGCTTTTTATTCTTGAATCTTCCTGTCTGTCCAGCACCTTCCTTCCCTCCCTCTGCATTCAGAGTGCCTGTTAGATTTCTGCTTGAGCTGCTAGAAATAAAATGCTAGAAATACCATTTGCAGCTCATCTCTTTGCCAATACTGCCATCTTGTGGTTTCACCAGAAGAAAACCATGAAAGCTGCATGTCTGTTTATTAACTGCTTTACCTTTGCCTTATTCATGGACCAATTCTCAAATTTTGGGGGGCAGCTGGACTGCTATCTTACTATGATTTTAGAATCCCCCTGCAAAGTCATCCTCTGCTACTCCGCCTCCCCTATGTACACACAATGGAAGACTCTCATCTAAGTTACTATTGAACAAAACGTTTTATTTCGAAGATTTATTAATACATAGCAATCGTGAGCAATGGTTTGCATAAAGATCTCTCAGCCATGTTTGCACTTTATGCATATAAAATGCACACCTACTTGAAATGCAACTGCATCCAATCACACCCGCCCAATCAATGTGTTCAAAGTTCTCGTTTACACACACCAAATTATTAGTATATGTAAAAACGCAGCATGTGGAGTGGCTCCTACTGCCGTGGTTGACGAAGCAGACTTCTGCCCCCAAAATGAAAAAGATAAAGGGCGGAGTGACTCCCCACTGAATGGGAAGACAAGGAAATTTCATCCATTTTTACGGGTGCCTCTTCCACCTTGCCTTTCCCCTCTGCCTCCCTTCTGGCATTGCAACTGACCAGTTAGACAACCCACAATTTGAGAACCACTGCATAAACGGTAAGCCAGTATGCATTCTGCTTAAATCAGTGATACTCAGTGGCAGTGCTCCCTCTAAGCTGAGTTAGTGTGAGCTAGCTCACACTTTTTTAGCCTCTGGCTCACACATCTTTGTCTTCACTCAGGAAGGATGGCTCCAGAGCAAACTAATTTATGAAGTAGCCCAATCGCTCACTCACAACTTTAATGACAGTCGCCCACAAAGTGGAATTTTTGCTCACAAGACTCCACAGCTTAGAGGGAGCATTGCTCAGTGGCTTGTGAGCCTTCTGTGGCTCTTTCACATGCCACTTGTGGTGCTTCTGAACACCGTTCCCCCATGTGGAACCCACCACATTTTTCAGGAAGGAGGGCAAGGCTATTGCCCAGGGGTGCAAGTGGCCGGCAGGCGTTTCTCTGAGGTTTTTCTTGAAACAGCTGTCATTGGAGGATGGCTAAAATGGGAGTCTCCCTGAGCTGCAGGCCTCGTGTTAGAGATAGAAAGGTTTAACAACCCCTCACAAATCTTTGCAGTCTTCGTACTCTTATTACAGCACCCAAGTTGCTTTTGACCTATGGAAGCATTTTTGTTTTTTCGCACAACCTTGCTAATAAAGAGTTCTGAAGAACTTGAAAGTTTGCATATACTGATGTGTCATAAGTTTGCCTTGCAAGCCCTCCTTTCCCTCCATATACTCCAGGACTGCCTAACCATCAACAGTGATGGGGAGAGAGAACCTTTCAGGCTCGGAGGTATTCTGCTAACTGAAAAGGTTACAGACATAGTTACATATTTAATATTAATCGATATATCTTATTGTATGCGTTTGGTTAGTAAGGTGGCATACAGGGCATACAGCACTCAGGTGACTGTTTAATTACAAATGTGGCTCTCCATGAGCCATGCAGTCAGTATAACTGGCTTCCATTTATACTAATTTGGCAGTTATATTATAACACTTTACATAGTGAATATTCATCTTTAATGTTAAAGCCCTCTGTATGTGCAAAAAGCAGGAAAAAAAGCAGACATAAGTGTTCTTAGTTGAGTGCAACTACGAACATTTATGTTTCAGTTCTTCTGATTCAGTGGTGTTGGAGTATGATTGGGTTACACGGAACTGTCACTAATATCAATAATTTTGGAATTCAATTATCACTAATTTTATGGTAAATCAATTCTTCTTACCTGACTACTGACCTGATCTTCTGCATGGTGACCAGAAATCCTTGAATCTCCCTGGTTTTGAGCAGGCTCCACAGAAAACACAGGAAAGAGAGGCCTGAGAAACCTGAACTCGCTGTTCAGAGAACCACCAGCTAAGCACACCTCATAGTTGTAAGCCCGGGAAAGGGATCCAGCATCAACATCTCCACTGTTCTCTGGGAAATTTGGTACCACTGGGAAATTCAGGGTGGAGCTCTCTACGAACTTTCTCCTTTTCTGAATCTTGATGGCCACAAACACCAACATAGAAACCAGAAAAATGAAGGAGATGACAGCCAAACATATGACCAGATACATCGTCAGGGTACGGTCTTCTTTCTCCATCATTTCTTCCTTTGGGATATCCAACATTTTCATATAAGGGTCAGAAAAGCCATCCACTAACAGAATGCTTAGTGTTGCAGAGGTGGACTGGGGAGGGTGACCATTATCTCTGACTCCAATGATCAGTTTCTGTTTGAAGGTGTCTCGTTTATGAATTGGTCTCATGGTTTTCACTTCTCCATTCTGGGCCCCCACACTGAACAGACCCGGTTCTGTAGCCTTCAGGAGCTCATAGGTAAGCCAGGAGTTCTGACCGGAATCTCTGTCCACTGCCACCACCTTGGTGACCAGGTAGCCAGCCTCCGCCCCCCTAGGAACCAGGTCATTGGATGGGGAAGTGCCATTCTGAAGAGGGTAGAGGATGAACGGAGCATTATCATTTTCATCCATGACAATGACTCGGACCATAACTTGGGAGCTCAGGGGAGGAGAACCGCTGTCCACAGCCCTCACAGTTACTTGGAAATCTTTCACCTGTTCATAGTCCAGAGATCGGATGGAATACAGATTCCCAGTTTCAGAGTTGATGGAGACGTAAGAGGACACAGGTTGATCACTGACCTTCCCAGGCAAAAGTGAATAGGTAATTTTGGCGTTCTGCTCAGTGTCCAGGTCATCGGCATGCACTAATCCCATTAGAAGACCTGGAATATTATTTTCTACTATTGGCAGTTCGTAATATGACATCTCAAATACTGGGGAGTTGTCATTGACATCTGAGATCTGAACATTAATTATTTTTGTTGAAGTGAGCCGGGGAGACCCCCAGTCCGTAGCTGTGATGGTGATGTTGTACTCTGAGACTCCTTCTCGGTCGAGGGGTTGCTGGATCACCAGCTGGTAATAGTTATTCTCTGAGGTTTTTAAAATGAAGGGCAAGTTTGTCTCAATGATGCAGGAAGTTCTGCCATTATCTCCAGAGTCCTGATCGGTGACACTGAAGAGGGCTGCAACAGTATCTGGAGGTGAATCTTCTGGAAAGGGGCTGGTGATGGAGGTTACGGTCACCTCTGGGGCATTGTCATTGGTGTCCTGCACCTCCACAACGACTTTGCAGTAAGCAGACAGGCCCCCTCCATCTGTGGCTTTGATGTTCATGGCATAACTTTTGTCTTCTTCATAATCAATGGTTCCTGCAACAATAAGTTCCCCAGTATGTTTGTTTAACTTGAACGATCTGAGCACATTTTCTGGCACCTGTCCGAAGGAATAGGTGATGTCTGCATTAGATCCAAGATCCCTGTCCGTTGCTTCCACTTTAGCTACAAGTGTGTTTGGGGGGGCATTTTCCAGTACCTTCACTTTGTACAGAGATTGATGGAACTGAGGGACATTATCATTGTTGTCCAGAACATCAATTACAATTTTTGCTGTGCCTGTTCTCTTTGGGGTCCCTCCGTCAATAGCCGACAGAATCAGGAAAAGCCGTGCATTCTCTTCACGGTCTAATTGTTTCTCTAGTACTAATTCTGCACTTTTGCTACCATCGCTGTGACTCTGAACACCCAACCTAAAATGGTCATTTGGACTAAGGGTATAGTTCTGAACACCATTTTCTCCTCTATCTGCATCTTTAGCACTCTCCAACGGGAATCGGGTATTCAGGGGAGTCTGTTCGGGTATTTCAAGAAGGAACTCCTTTTTAGAGAAGTGGGGGGAATTGTCATTCACATCCTCTATTTGGACTTCAATTCTGTGCACTTGCAGTGGATTTTCCAGTACAATCTCTGAAATCAAGACGCAAGGGTCCTTCTGACCACAAAAGCCTTCTCGGTCTATTCTGTCCTTTAATAACAAATTCCCAGAGTGTGGATCCAGCTGTAAAAATTGCTTGCTGCTTTTAGAAACCAGCCGAGCCCCACGAGCAGACAGCTCCTTCACATCCTCCACTTTCAAATCCTCTAGCAGGTTTGCCACCAGAGACCCACTTTTCTTTTCCTCAGGCACTAAATACAGGAAGGATTCGCATATCCCCCCACACATGCAGAGATACAGAAAAAAAGACCAACCTTGCCTTTTGTTGCGATGCATTTCCATTTTCTCACCCTCCTTGAAGGTACGTCTGACACACAGGATGGTTCTTTGTAAAGAAGGCAGTTCCTGGAACTGGCTTTGTTGTCTTTACCCAATGAAAATCTCTTTTTTCTATATCTGTTATCAGTAATAAATACAGTGGCTTTTTCCTTCTGAAATTTCTGTCTATGCCTGCAAGGACGATTGCCTTCTATTTCTCTTTGAGATCCCTTCTTTGTGACAGCAAGAGCTATGTGGGAAACCTGATACGCCCTGAAAGTTTGCTATGTGTTGTCCAATTGCACCACCTTGTGTTTGAATAAATCTATGACAAGCAGAAACTATAATTCACCAGCATTTCATGAAATATATGTCTTGAACTACTTTTAATATTTCATAACTTACCCCTCTTCTTATAAACTAAAATTTTAAAGATGGTTTGGAATTCAGTGACGCACACTTCAAAAGAAATGGGTAATGGCCTTCCCACAAGCGAAATATCTGGTCCAATCATCCTGCTTACCCAAAAAGATTCTTCTGTATAAACACAAAAGTTCATGGTAGTGCCTAGCCATGATGAAGTTTGTGGTCCCAAGAATTCTGCTGGTAGCTGCTTCTGTGTTCCATATGGTGACCCACTACTGGGCCATTAAAATGTACGCTTATGGCTCTTAGTAGCTGAGTTTTATTTTCTTTCAGTGCACACAATCTCCGTGACACTGGAGAAATTATGATGGTGTAAAGTATGATGAAAGAAGGTCTTCTTTCTCTTGCAGGCCTGAAGAAAGGCCATAGATTTCCACCACCTACGTTAGGTTATGCAGATAGTGGGGTTTTTTTTTTGCAAGGTCTACTTCTCAAACTGTAGAAAATAAATGATAGACATAGCATGCATGTGGTTCTGCAGGCAATTGCAATTTATATATATCCCCCCCCCCATCTTCCTGGGAATATACTATATATCAGCTATCCGTGTAGAGAATTCTGCCATTCTTGGTAAGTTCTCTAAGAGCCTTTCCTACAAGCCCCAGAGTGCTGTGTTGGGTCACATGACACTTACCCCTGTGCTTCGCAACTAAAAAACAGAGCTTTCTAGAAGGCTAACAGTGAATGCAGAATGCAAGCATGAGGCTGGAACAGGGTAGGTTTATCTGCCAGGGTAGGTTTATCTGCCAGGGTAGGTTTATCTGATCTTGGATTCAGTGTTAAGGCTTCATGTATGTAATATATATGTATATAATGTATTATCAGGGCTTTTTTTGTAGAAAAAGCCCAGCAGGAACTCATTAGCATAATAGGCCACACCCAACAGCAGGAACGTATTAGCCTATTAGGCCACACCCCTGACAGCACAGCTCAGTCACATATTAGGCCACACCCCCTGTTACCAGAAGTGTGGTCATCCAACCACACCCACCTTTTGCTTCTTATTCTCTTTACCTTGTTTGTTGACAAAACCCAGGGCTTTTTTTTTGGAGCAGGAACTCCTTTGCATATTAGGCCACACACCCCTAATCGTAGCCAATCCTAATGAGTTTCTGCTTTTGGGTGTGGCCTATTATGCTAATGAGTTCCTGCTGGGCGTGGTCAACTTGGGATCCAGCCGGAACTCCGTTCCTGTGCGTTCCTGCCCAAAAATAGCCCTGAATACTGGTATCAAATTAAGAACACTCATTATTGAACACTACAACTGATCCAGAATGTGGCGGTGGAAGTCCTGATGGAAGCGCCACGGACATCACATATTCTACTGATGCTCCACCAGCTACACCGGCTCCCAGTGGAGTACCGAGCCAGGTTCAAGCTTTTGATAATGACCTTTAAGGCCTTGAGCAGTCTGGGACCCACCTATCTTTGGAAACGCCTCCTCTGGTATGTCCCCTGAAGAGCATTAAAAAGGTAAAGGTAAAGGTCTCCCTTGCTCGAAAGCCAGTTGAGTCCAATTCTAGGGTTGTGGTGCTCATCTCCATTTCAAAGCCGAAGAGCCAGCGCTGTCCGAAGACGTTTCCGTGGTCATGTGGCCGGCATGACTAAACACCAAGGCGCACGGAACGCAGTTCCCTTCCCACGGAAGTGGTACCTATTTATCTACTTGCAATTTCTTGCTTTCGAACTGCTAGGTTGGCAGGAGCTGGAACGAGAGACGGGAGCTCACTCCATTATGCGGCACACTCGGGTCTCGAACTGCTGAACTACCGACCTTCCACAGCCTGCAGTTCAGCGTCTTAACCACTTGAGCCACCGCAGCTCCTTGAAGAGCGTTACACTCTGCTAAAAACAATCTGCTGGTGGCCCCTGGCTCCAAAGACGTCTGGCTGTCCTCTGGTCCGGGTGGGGGTTCCCCTGCTTTTGCAGACTCCTTTCCACCACTGGCCAGCTGGCCAGTGGGAGGAAACCCCACCTGCAAATGCCCCCGAACGTGACGTAATGACATCAACCGGAAGTGACGTCTTCATGTCGCCAACATCAGGGGTGACTCTATGGTAAAATTGGGCTCAAACCATACGAGTTTTGCCCAAAAACTAGGGCATCACCCCGTCTGGCTGTCCTCTGGTCCGGGTGGGGGTTCCCCTGCTTTTGCAGACTCCTTTCCACCACTGGCCAGCTGGCCAGTGGGAGGAAACCCCACCTGCAAATGCCCCCGAACGTGACGTAATGACATCAACCGGAAGTGACGTCTTCATGTCGCCAACATCAGGGGTGACTCTATGGTAAAATTGGGCTCAAACCATACGAGTTTTGCCCAAAAACTAGGGCATCACCCTCCTGACATCAGTGATGTGATGATGTCACGTCCAGGTGATGTTATTGTGGTACGTGTGCTTCGTGTGCACCAGAAGATCCTGGGACAGACCCTGGAGCTCCCCACCGGCAGCCAGGTAGGACCTGACAACCCCAATCTAGACTCAATGAGATAAACAGCCTATAAACAAGCAATTTGCAGAAGGCCGTAAACTCTTGTATCCAGAGAACCAGGACTTTTTTTGTAGAAAAAGCCCAGCAGGAACTCATTAGCATAATAGGCCACACCCAACAGCAGGAACGCATTAGCATATTGGGCCACACCCCTGACAGCACAGCTCATTAGCACATTAGGCCACACCCCTTTTGCTTCTTATTCTGTTTACTTTGTTTATTGTCAAAACCCAGGGCTTTTTGTAGCAGGAACTTCTTTGCATGTTAGGCCACACACCCCTAATGTAGCCAATCCTAATGAGTTTCTGCTGTTGGGTATGGCCTATTATGCTAATGCGTTCCTGCTGGGCATGGCCAACTCGGGAGCCAGCCGGAACTCCGTTCCTGTGCGTTCCTGCCCAAAAATAGCCCTGCAGAGAACTATAATATCACAGCTAAATTAAACTAATTTTGTCTACCAAACTTTAAGATACCTTGCATATCTAAGATATATTATATATGATTATTTTCTTTTTCCCAGTCATCTGCCCCTTCACAATCAATCCAGACATATCATACAAAAATGATACCATACATTGAATACCTGGTCCTCTATTCCAAAAATCTAAAAAAAAAGCTTCCAAGAATTAAAGTAAGCATGCTTAGCCCTCTCATCTCTCAGCTTAATTAGCTCAGTCAATTTAGATAATGCAGCCAACTCCCATACTTAATTTGTCTAAGCCTTAATATTTAAATGTGTTGCCTCTTGCCCAGTACCAAATGAAGACTCATGACAACAATGTGGGTTTAACTCGTTTATTTAAATGTATTCAGAGCTGCCGATCTACATAATCAATTAACTATGGCTGTCTTTGTCCTGGCAAATCCACCCTGGCCTTGTTTATCCTCACCTGCACAATGCGTGCTAAGAGGTACCTAGCCCCAGTCCCCACCTTGATGCATCATTAAGCCACTACCAGGTTCAGGAAGATGTTGCTCAGCACCACAGGTGCTTCTTCCCAAGCCCCATCCCGCCATCTAGCCAGCAATGGCCTGTTCAGGACATGCCCTCAATCATGCCCAATGGCTCAGGGTGCTCATAGCTTATACCTACCTAAATGAGCAACCCACCCTATCCCTGCTAAACTTGTTATGGCCTAAACAGTCAAAGACTAGCCTACTTAAACCTAAATTCAATTATTCATTTAATTCTTAATCATTACTACCACCAGCCTGGACATCACGAAGCAGGTGAAAAAGGGCTCTCTCCAAGTGCCAGTCAGGGAGAAGGCCCCCCAAATGCCCGCTTGGCCCCAAATGGTGACTGGCCTTCACTCCTACATTAATTGCTGACATAGCGATAGTAAAAAAAATATTAATCCAGGTAGAGAAAAAAGATGATTTTGGCCATCTTATAAAAATGGCACATTACACCAATGGGGGATCAGTCAGTAAAAATTGATATATTGCTGAAATTAAGTCTTTTTGAACAGGTTATGTGTATATTGATTTTTCAAATTGTGACAGTTGCCAATGAATTTATTAACTTTTTTATTGATTTCAAAACCTGGAACCATTTAACCCCACTGTTTTACTGCAGTATTTCTGTCTAGGGTAAATATTTACCCTTTTGATCATATCTATAAATCTTATACAATTATTGACAATCGAACTTGTCCATGGAGACATAATCTCAAAGAATTGCTTATATATATATCATTGTGGCATCATTTTTTTCTGTACAAGACACCAGACAGCTATGGCATTATTTATTAAGAGGTAATCATACTTAAGACCCTTTTTTAAACTTCTTCTGTTTTAACAGTGTGCCATGGGAACTGAGTCAAAAGAATTTTACATCCAGCTTGTTCAATAAGAAGCCAATGAGCATCTCTTGAGACATGAACTCACTTATTGTTTCAATATCATCATTTGATATAACTTCATAAATTAGGAAACGCCAAATCTCCTTTTTCCTTTGTAGAATTTCTAATTCTCCTCCAGTCTTTTTATTTATCCAAACATATTCGATAATTTCCCTTTGCCAATTTTGTAATGTTCTTTTAGAGAAGACTATAGAAATCTTTTGAAATAGGAATAGAACCTTTGGGACTATCTTAGTGAACAAAATAAAATTTAACACAGTATTTGATGCCATACTATCTGATAATAATAATTATTTTGTGTTAGAGTTAAGCCAAACACTCAGGCATCTCCAAGCACTTTTGGATCAATTCAACTCCAATGCAGCTGAAATCTCTTTTTGCATATTTTCATCTAAATTCTATGCAGATAAATCCATTGTATATTTATTAATTTTAAACTTGAAAATGTGCTATATTCTTCTATGCATATCAAAGTTTGTTCAATTGATTTCTCAGGATTAGTTACAATATTTTGTCTGCATAGTAGCTTATTGTAAGTTCTTGTCCAGCCAATTTCTGATTTACTTCTAATTAATTCAGCCAAGGGTTTGATATTAGTAAGAAATAAAATAGCCAACAATGGACAACTTTGAAAAGTGCCTCAGTTAAGCATGATCAGAACTGGCAATATCCTATTTACCTGAAGACATAAGACTGACAATATATACAACTTTAATAAAATGCAAGAATTTACTTTTAATATTAAATGCCTCAAAGATTTTGGACAAAAACACACACCATTCAATGTGGTCAGAAGCTTTTTTCTCATCAAGTAGTATTAACGCCAACTTTGACCTCTTTCAGCTCCACATAATTCGATATAGAAATAATATTCCAAATATTATTTGCTAAATATCTACCCTTCATAAATCCAATTTGGTCATGATGTATATACCCACCAATAACATTATTCTGTCTAGCTGCTAGAATGGACGTAAATTTCTTGTAATTTACATTCAACAATGATATTGGTCTGTATGAGCTTGCAGTTGTAGAGTCTTTACCTTTCTTGTGTATGGAAATTACTCCTGCCTCGTTCAATGTACTGGAATGTTACCATTTCTTAAGGACTCATTAAAAAGTTTCAACACAGGAGTTAATATTACTCCATTACTTTATAATATTATGCCATAATACCATCCAATCCAGGAGATTTTTTTTAGCTTTTAAACTGCTATTTCAGCCGTGTTAACAGGAAACTCTCAATTCAAACTAAACCTATCTTGTTCAATTAAGGATCTCAATCTAATCTGACGTAAAAATGCTTCTACATTTTAAACTTCTGGTGTACCTGATTTATATAAACCAGTAGGGCTGCCAGAGGAGAGAGAGAACTTCAGCCAGTGCTGAAAGTGGCTAGTTGTTCAGCCCTGCCCTATTCTTTGCCTGAAGTATTTTAAGAACACTTGCTTTGAGGAAGCTGTTGCTGCCAGAGGGGAGAGAGAACTCCAGCCTGTGTTGAGAGAGACTGGCTGTCAGCCCTGCCCTCCTTTGTGCCTGGGGTAGTATAATTAGGTCTTCATCCAGCGGTCATTTGGGGGCATGCATTGCTTTATACAGGTGCATGTTGACATTTAGACATGTTCTGCTGCTATGCCATTTAGACATGTTCTGCTGCTATGAATTGTGGTGTCTGTACCTACCTTGTGAGAGTGTACCACTGAGATTTATGTCTCCCTTTTTGATGTGGGGAAGAGACCTTGTGAGATAAGATGCTAGAGACGTAGGAAGCACCCAGACCCATTTTGTTGCTACTTCTGCCTCTTAAGCACTCTATAAGAATCTTTGAATGGCTCAGTGCTGTGTGGTTGCTCACAGGCTTGCTTTCCTTTACACAGCTGCACATTGCGTTTTAACATAATTATCTTTGAATGACCAGTAGATGTGCCACCGGTGATCTGCAAAGGGCATCACATACAGGGCAAGGACCTTTTAACGTGGGCCTTAAAGGGCTGGCCTTATATGGTGTTAAAATATTAATATATTATTAGGTCGACTTACTTAAGAAGAGATAAGAGTGGGATTTTGCCTATCCTTTACCCTGGTTATTGGACAACGAGTGGTAAAGTTATAAATTGGTGGTCTAAGTTATTTGCAATAACATTTATTAAATATAATGCAAAAATATATGTATTGTCATGAAAAAAACAGACGAAGGAAAGAATTAATAACACATATACGGCGATGGAAAGTAAGTAACATATTCATACTTTTAAGGGCATTAAGCCAGATCATAACCCCCTCAAGAGACAGTTAACAACCAAATGCTCAGAAATTAATCCAGTCCTGATAGTGTACATTAAATGGAAAAAATCTCATTTTCTGCTAGATATTGCAGCATTGGGAGACAGGTAACTACAAAGGTGCTGTTCGTATCATCACAGGAGTGGGGTTTTTTCCCATCATAAATTGTGTCCGCAGTTTATCAAGCCACAGTTCTATAGTTATTGTTGATGTAAGTTAAATGAATACATGACATTCTAAAAATAAAAAGGTCAGACTGCAAAACACAGTAACATGTAAGTGTCTAGGAGCAGGATACCTTGAGGACCAAGTGAACCTGACTAGCAACGAAGATCATCATCAAAGCTGTTCTCTGGCTGCCCTTGCCTTATGAAGTGAGGTGGGTATCTAGAAGACAGAAGGCCTTTTCTGTGGTTGCACCCAATTTTAGAACTTCCTCTTGAGAAAAGTTTGACTGGCACCATCCTTGGCATCTGTTATTGAAAAGTACGCAGACGGAGAGTGATTTCAGCAAAGCGTACTTTATTCGATCAGGAACAAGACGACCTGGGCCGGCTTGCAGGCCGGCTTATATCCCCCGAGAAACAGTCACTCAAAACACACCCCTACTACCTAATAGGTTATTTACAATGGCCGAGAGTCCCATAGGCTCTCGGCCGGGAACCTAGGCCCCCTGATTGGAGCGGACTAGGATCCGCATAGTCCATTGTCTCTTGGAGCGAAGCTCGACGTTTGGGTCTGACCATGTGGAGCCCAAGCCGGCCACGCGGTCTGGACTGGATACATTACAGTTATCTTTTAGGCAGTGGACCAAGTTTGTCTTATTTATATGAGCTTTGCAGTTGAATTTTTGGAAGGATTGCATGAGTGTGCTTCCCTGACCTCCTCAATCTGTATAGTCTCTGTTCCTGTGCCATTTTGTTAATGCTCTTGCTTTGTGCTCTGCGGGTGGTATTCTGATTTAATAAGTACACTATTGTGAATCTGTGATACACTAAAAACAAATGCACATCTTTTTCAAAGGAATGATAACACAGGGATTTCTATTTTAACCGTCTTTGGCATGTGCAGCCATAAAGCTTTGAACACCAGGGGGAAAAGAAACAACGAAAGAGAGAACCACTATTTTTAGAAATACCGGACCTTGGAGGGGAACATGTTACACAGGAAGATCAAAATGTTCAGATTGTCCAAGAAAATTAATGTGTTGGATGGGAAAATGAACACAATTTAACTTATACTGAACTACATTTTGAGATGGAAAGTTTACAAAATTAATTCTTACCTAGCAGACTAAGAGAAAAAGAAGGTCCTTTTAATAACAGATAACAACTGAAGAAGGGCTGAGAAAAATAATTCAGGGTGTTTATAAATTATATAAGGAATTTTATACATTAGACAAACCATCAGTGGAAAACAGGAAGATGAATTAAGTTGATTCAACAGAATTAGAATTCCCAACTAAGATAAGAAATCAAATGTTTAACAAATTACAGTACCAGGCACAGCTGGATTTACCTTAAAATATTAGAATGTTATATCTGGAAAAAGATTAATATTTATTCCTAAACCTGGGAAAGATATAAAACAAAGAGAACCATATAGGCTCATTTCTCTTCTAAATGGGGACTACAAAATATTCATGTCCATTCCTACTGTCAAATTAAATAACGTTCCTTAATATGTTGCAGAGATATGGGGTTCTCTTGGAATTGCAGCTCATCTCCAGACTAGAGATCAATTTCCCTGGAGAAAATGGATGCTTTGGAGGGTGAACTCTATGGCATTGTACCCCACTGCGATCCCTGTCTTCCCCAGGTTCCATCCCCAAACCTCTAGGAGTTTCCCAACCTGGAACTGGCAACCCTACCCCCTCACTCCCCATGGGTGACCAGTGGGGACTGGCAATCCTATAATAGACCCGCATTTTAAAATACCTGTATTCCCATCCACATGGATATGAATGTATATTTATGCCAATAAAGGCTAACTGACTGGCTGACTGATATGAATGTATGAAAATGCAAATATACGACGAACACTTCATAGTTTTATTGTGTGACATACTGGCATACATGGAGAAGCTGTAATTTTCTCACAAAGTCAAGAGTCAGCCTTAAGGGTAATAAGTTCCAGAAAGTCAGAAAGCTAATGACCAGGAGGCAGGAGGGTTGAAGAAAGAATCCCAGCATTCAGAAACAGGCCTGAGTAAAGGATCTGTGGAAGAAGAGGTCCAATGGAAACAGGGGCAGAGGACCAACAAAGAAGAAGGAAGGGCCAGCTTCAAAAGAATGTTTGGCTCAAGGGAAAAACCTTTCTGGAGTCCTAGGAACAGGAGGATCTGACAACACGGAGTATAGCTTGATAATTAAAACAACAGGGATAATATAGGGACACTCCTAAAGGGGATGGAGAACTACAGGTGAATATCATGAACTCAATGCAAATACATACACTGTTCTCAAATGGCACTTATCAAGTCATGATGGACGCCTCCAATAGGGAGAGAAACAGTGAATTAACAGAGAGAAACAAGTATTCATCCAAAAAAAAATATGACTGATAGTGTAGCAAAAAAGTATTTCTGATGTCATTTAACCTCGCTAAAATATTCATAGTTCATAGGACAATTAATAAAAAAACCCAAGCTATTTACATACCTGTTCTCTTTGTTTTTGGCCTTCTGCTTGCTCAGGAGCCTCTTGAGAGATAGAAGAAATCCTGTGATTCTCAGAAATGTTTGGGTCTCCCATAGAAAAAACAGGAATGAGAGGCCTAAGGAATCTGAACTCGCTGCTTAGTGATCCACCGGTTAGGCAAACGTCATAGCGGTAAGTCCGGGAAAGTGATCCACTCTGAGAATCGACACCGGTTTCTGGGATCTCAGGCAAGGCAGGTGGGAACTGAGGAAGGGCGGTGATGAAACTAGACTCTTTCTTGTGCACTTTGATGGCAACAAACACAATGATGCAAACCAGGAACACAAAGGACACCGCAGCCAAGCAGATCACCAGGTACATGGTCAAGGAGCCGTCTTCCTCACTGGCTTCGTGACTGACGCTTGCAATATTCAGATAAGGATCTGAAAAGCCATCCACCGGAAGGACATTCAGGGTTGCAGTGCTGGTCTGGGGAGGGTGGCCGTTGTCTCTCACCAGGATAATCAGTCTCTGCTTGTTGGTATCTCGCTCCGTCAGTGGTCTCCGGGTTTTCACTTCTCCGTTCTGGGCTCCTATGCTGAAAAGGCCGGGGTCTGTGGCCTTCAGGAGTTCATAGGACAGCCAAGAGTTCTGGCCCGAATCCCCATCCACAGCCACCACCTTGGCAACCAGGTAACCGGACTCCGCTGACTTGGGAACCAGCTCGTTGAAGGGGGAGGTGCTGTTCTGAAGTGGGTAGAGGAAGAAGGGCGCATTATCGTTTTCATCCAGGATCACAACTCGAACAACAACCTCTGAGCTCAGTGGAGGAGAGCCCCCATCTGAAGCCCTCACTGTCACTTGGAACTCCTTGATCTGCTCATAATCCAGAGATCGCAGGACATACAGATTCCCCGTCTCAGAGTTGATGGAAACATAAGAGGCCGCAGGAGCACCACTGGCATTTCCAGGCACAAGGTAATAGGTCACCTTGGCATTCTGCTCCACGTCCAGATCGGCAGCCCGGACCAAACCCATCAGCAGGCCAGGAATGTTGTTTTCCCACACTTGCATTTCATACTTGGACTTCTCAAACGCTGGAGAGTTGTCGTTGATGTCTGAGATCTCAACGCTAATTATTCTAACAGAAATCAGCTTGGGAGAGCCCCGATCAGTAGCTGTGATGGTGATGTTATACTCAGGGACTTTCTCTCTATCCAGTGGCCTTTGGGTCACCAGTTGATAATAATTATTCACAGTGTTTTTTAACAGGAAAGGCAAGTTCATCTCCACAGAGCAGAAGGTCCTGCCATTGTCTCCGGAGTCTCGGTCTGTGACACTGAAGAGGACGACCAGAGTATCTAGGGGAGAGTCTTCTGCCAAAGGGTTGGTGACGGATATGACCGATATCTCAGGTAGATTGTCGTTCTCATCCTCAATTTCCACCAGGACCTTGCAGTGGCCTGAAAGGCCCCCTCCATCTGTTGCTTTAATGTCTAAGTGATAGCTGGCTTCCTTTTCATAGTCAATTGGACCCAAAATTGTGATTTCTCCAGTTTTCTGTTGCAAGTAGAACAAGTGTTCTATATTCTCAGGTACCCGATGGAATGAGTACGTGATCTCTGCATTTGAACCAAAATCCAAATCTCTGGCTTCTACTTTAGACACTAGAGTACCACGAGGACTGTTTTCCTTTAGCTTCACTTTATATTCAGATTGTGTAAACTGCGGGAAGTTGTCATTGATGTCCAGAATATTAATATTTATTTGAATTGTGCCTGTTCTCTGGGGCACCCCTCCATCAACAGCTGTGAGAGTCAGCCGCAAATGAGCTTCTTTCTCCCTGTCTAGTGATTTCTCCAGAACAAGGTCCACATATTTGCTCCCAAACTCATTACTTTGTACATCCAATCTGAAATTCCCATTGACACTGAGTGTGTAGTTCTGAATAGTGTTTTCACCTAAGTCTGTGTCTTGGGCAGATTCCAAAGGAAATCGTGTATTTGTAGGAACATTCTCAGGAATTGCTAATTCAAATTCCTTTTTGGAGAATTCAGGTGAATTGTCATTCACATCTTTGATCTCAATCTCAATAATGTAGATTGTTAAGGGGTTTTGGAGCACAATTTCAGACAACAGTAAGCAAGGCTCCACCTTCCCACACAAAGCTTCTCTGTCTATCTTTTCATTTACAAAGAGATTCCCAGAACGGCTATCCAGCTGGAAGTACTGCTTATTGCTTTTGGAAACCAGCTGGGCTCTGCGAGCAGAGAGCTCCCCTGGTCCCAGTTTCAAATCCTTCAGCACATTAGCCACCAGAGACCCACTTTTCTTCTCTTCAGGCAAAGAATAGCGAATAGAGACACACACCACTCTAGACACCAAGAATAAGAACAAAAGGTACAGACCTTTTCTGATCCTGAAGCTATCATCCATGTTCTGAGTATCATCCAGTGATTATTTATATTTCTTAGGAAATTGTTCTGGTCTTTTGATTGCTTTCTTTCTTTTAATCTTTTATTTCCAAATCCATCCAGCACTCACCCTTCCTCTTGTTTCAGATTCTAACTGCTGATATGTTTCTGCTAGCCCTGCTTCAAAATCGAGGATTCTTTTTGAAATGTATGCTGCATCTGATCTGTTTGCCAATACTGCCATCTTGTGGTATGACCATAAGAAAACTATACAAATCATAAATTTTCCTTTAAAACAGTGACTTTCAAACTTTTTGAACTGGGATCCATCTCTAAATATAGTCTGCCTTTCAGAACCCACTTGCAAAGTTACTCCATGCAACATTATGTCCACCACCACACACAAAAATACAATGCAAGAATATTAATTAAAATTAGCAATGAGCAAATGGCTCCTACTGTCGTACTCTATGCAAGGCAAACGAAGGAACCGATCACACTGCCACTTGCTGGGAAATTAAGACTAAAGCCCTATATTTTGTCTCCTTACAACTGAGGGCCAGGGATGACAACAAATTAAAAGCGCTCGAAACAGGAGGGGGGGGAGAAGTGAGGCCGCTCCTTCCTCATTTCTCCTTTTCACTCTGCTGGGATGAGTTCAGCCTGGAGCCTCCTGTTCCAGTTCATCTTATTTCTCCTTCCTCCTATTGAAGTCATGCTTGACTTGCAAAACAGTTTCCGCCCATGTCTGAGTCATGCCTCAAAACATTTACCTGATATATAATATGCTTATATTTATGCTAATTTTGCATGTATATATGAACTTTAAACACGGTTACCATTGTTAACAGAGATTATAATTTTTGTAACAGAACAAATTTAGAGTCCAGTGGCACCTTTAACACCAACAAAGTTTGACACTTTGTGGGTCTTACAGGTGCCACCGGACTCTAAATTTCAGTCAGTCAGTCAGCCTTTATTGGCATAAAGGTAAAGGTAAAGGTTTCCTTTGCTCGAAAGCCAGTCGAATCCGACTCTAGGGTTGCGGTGCTCATCTCCGTTTCCAAGCCAAAGAGCCAGCGCTGTCCAAAGACGTTTCCATGGTCATGTGGCCGGCATGACTAAACACCAAGGTGCACAGAACGCTGTTACCTTCCCACCAAAGTGGTACCTATTTATCTACTTGCAATTTCTTGCTTTCAAACTGCTAGGTTGGCAGGAGCTGGAACTAGAGACGGGAGCTCACTCCATCATGCGGCAACTCAGGTCTTGAACTGCTGAACTACTGACCTTCCACAGCCTGCAGTTCAGCGTCTTAACCACTTGAGCCACCGCAGCTCAATAAAACAATACGTTAAAAGAGGATTTCTATAAGAAAATATACATATAAAACCATACTTATAAATCCAAGTATTTTGCAAACTACATAGTATTGCATAATGTTATATAAAACAATTTGTAACAAAGTGTTGCTCATTTTGATAGTTTTCCCTGTCGTAGCTTTATAGCTGAATGTAAAAACATGGCTACCTTCACCAACTCTAAATTTGTTCTACTGCTTCAGACCAACACGGCTGACAACCTGGATCTTTAATTTTTGTACATTTCTGTAACATGTACATAAGCAGACAGGCAGAAATGATGAGAAATACATTTGGAAACACTGGAAATAAATCTCAATGATTCACCTGGAGTTTCTGTATAAAAGAGTTACGCTTGATTGTTGTTAACATTATTATCTTAGGAACTGAACCATTAGGGATTTTATATTAACTTAATTACTCTCACCTGACTTATGTGTTCACTTTCTGCTCCATGACTGGGAACTTCTTGGGAACCAGCTGAAATCATTGAATCCCTTTGATCTGGTGCAGGCTCCACAGAAAACACAGGAAAGAGAGGCCTGAGAAACCTGAACTCGCTGTTCAGGGACCCACCAGCTAAGCACACCTCATAGTTGTAAGCCCGGGAAAGGGATCCAGCACCAGCATCTCCAAAGTTCTCCTGGAAATTCGGTCCCACTGGGAAATTCAGGGCAGAGCTCTCTATGAACTTCCTCCTTTTTTGAACCTTGATTGCAACGAACACCACCATGGAAATCAGAAATATGAGTGAGATGGTAGCCAAGCATATGACCAGATACATCGTCAGGGTACGGTCTTCCTCCTCTACCACTGCATCCTTTGGGATATCCAACATTTTCATATACGGGTCAGAAAAGCCATCCACTAGCAGAACACTTAGCGTTGCAGAGGTAGACTGGGGAGGGTGCCCATTGTCTCTGACTCCAATGATTAGTTTCTGTTTTAAAGTGTCTCTTTTATTAATTGGTCTCATGGTTTTCACTTCTCCATTCTGGGCCCCAACACTGAACAGACCCGGTTCCGTGGCCTTCAGGAGCTCATAGGAAAGCCACGAGTTCTGACCGGAATCTCTGTCCACTGCCACCACCTTGGTGATCAGGTAACCAGCCTCAGCCTCTCTGGGAACCAGGTCATTGGATGGGGAAGTGCCATTCTGAAGAGGGTAGAGGATGAATGGGGCATTGTCATTTTCATCCATGACAACAACTTTGACCATAACTTGGGAGCTTAGGGGAGGAGAACCGCTGTCCAGAGCTCTCACAGTCACATGAAAATCTTTCACCTGCTCATAGTCCACTGATCGGATGGCATACAGATTCCCAGTTTCAGAGTTGATGGAGACATAAGAGGACACAGGTTGATTGCTGACCTTCCCAGGCAAAAGTGAATACATTACTTTGGCATTCCGCTCTGTGTCCAGGTCCCTGGCTTGGACCAACCCTATCAGCAGTCCCGGAATGTTATTTTCCCATAACTGCATTTCATATGTTGACTTCTCAAATACCGGAGCATTGTCATTGACATCTGAGATCTGAACGTTAATTATTCTTGTTGAAGTGAGCCTGGGTGAGCCCCTGTCTGTAGCTGTGATGGTGATGTTGTACTCTGAGGCTTTTTCTCTGTCCAGGGACTGCTGGGTCAGCAGCTGGTAATAGCTATTCACGGACACTTTTATCATGAAGGGCAAGCTTGCCTCCGTGGTGCAGGAAGTTTTGCCATTTTCTCCCGAATCTCGATCTGTGACACGAAAGAGGGCCACCACTGTATCTGGGGGAGAATCTTCTGGTACGGGGCTCGTGAGCGATGTGAGGGTCACCTCTGGGGCATTGTCATTCTGGTCCTCAACCTCCACCACGACTTTGCAATACGAAGAGAGCCCCCCTCCATCCGTGGCTTTGATGTTGATCTCATAACTTCTCTCCTCTTCATAATCAACGGTTCCAGCAACAGTCAGTTCCCCGGTCTGTTGGTTTAAATTGAATGCTTTGAGCACATTTTCTGGCACCTGGCTGAAGGAATAGGTGACGTCTCCGTAGGAACCAAGATCCTGGTCAGTAGCTTGAACTTTAGTCACAAGTGTGTTTTTTGGAGTGTTTTCTGTTAGTTTCACTTCATAAAGGGATGGATGAAACTGAGGGACATTATCGTTGCTGTCCAGAACTTCAACCATAATGTTTGCTGTGCCTGTTCTCTTTGGGGTCCCTCCATCAACAGCAGACAGAATCAGGAAAAGCCGTGCAATCTCTTCTGGTCCTCAACCTCCACCACGACTTTGCAATACGAAGAGAGCCCCCCTCCATCCGTGGCTTTGATGTTGATCTCATAACTTCTCTCCTCTTCATAATCAACGGTTCCAGCAACAGTCAGTTCCCCGGTCTGTTGGTTTAAATTGAATGCTTTGAGCACATTTTCTGGCACCTGGCTGAAGGAATAGGTGACGTCTCCGTAGGAACCAAGATCCTGGTCAGTAGCTTGAACTTTAGTCACAAGTGTGTTTTTTGGAGTGTTTTCTGTTAGTTTCACTTCATAAAGGGATGGATGAAACTGAGGGACATTATCGTTGCTGTCCAGAACTTCAACCATAATGTTTGCTGTGCCTGTTCTCTTTGGGGTCCCTCCATCAACAGCAGACAGAATCAGGAAAAGCCGTGCAATCTCTTCACGGTCCAGCTGTTTCTCCAGTACTAACTCTGCATATTTGATCCCATCACTGCGACTGTGTACATCCAGTCTAAAATGGTCATTTGGACTAAGTGTATAGTTCTGAACAGCATTTTCCCCGTTGTCCTGATCTTGAGCCTTCTCCAAAAGGAACTGGGTATTCAGGGGAGTCTGCTCAGGTATTTCAAAAAGGAATTCCTTTTTAGAGAATTGGGGGGAATTATCATTCACGTCCTCTATCTGAACTTCAATCCTGTGCACTTGCAATGGATTCTCCAGCACAATCTCTGAGAATAAGACACAAGGATCCTTCTGACCACACAGAGACTCTCGATCTATTCTGTCCTGCAATATCACATTCCCAGAGTAAGGATCCAGCTGGAAATATTGCTTGGTGCCTTCAGAAACCAGCCGAGCCCTACGAGCAGACAGCTCCTTCACACCCACTTTCAAATCCTTTAGCACATTTGCAACCAGAGATCCACTTTTCTTTTCTTCAGGCACTGAATAGTGGAAAGACTCACAAACCCCGATAGCAAGGCAGAAATACAAAGAAAAAGACCAGACTTGCCTGTTAAGCATTCTTGCAGCTTCCCCCAAAACAGAAGTGAAACACAAAGGAGTTCTTTGTACAGCACCTGGTTCCCTTTCTTTCCTTGGGTTTTCTTCTTGACTTCCTAACATTTTTTACTGTTCTCTAGCAATGCAGAGCTGCTGCCTGTTTCCTTGATACTGCTTTGTCTAATGGCTGTAGATTTTTCAAGGAGAAGTTACTGTGTGACCATTTTTGCTTTGTTGGCCAACAGCACCACCTTGTGCTTGAAGGAAAATATAGCAGCTGTACATTTTCCAAATGATTCTACTTTCATTGATTAGCACAGACTATTCCTCTGGAATAAGAGATTGCAAAGGGTTTTATTGCGTAAGGCTTATATCCATGTCTTAGGTAAAAAATAAAAATCTTATGTATAGAAAACCTGGATGACCCATCAAAATG